AGACGCTGCAGCACTCTGTAATGGCAATAGAACTAGTCGTGACTGTTGGGCGCTACGGTGTTTTCACAGTCGCGAAGAAATTCGGCTTGACGTGACCGGTGCTTGTTCAGTGTCTTGATTTGCAGGTGCTTCGCCTACAGTTCAATTCGGCAACGCCTCGATCAGGTTTATACCTGCAGGCCAGAGGAAAGACATGTTCAATGCATTCTCTGCTACATGGCAGCTGGTTCGCTGGGCTGGCGGGACAGGTTCTCCAATGGCAAATCCACTTGCAGCAGCGACTCCCACCGTTGGTGTCTGAGTTTCCGACATGCTGCACATCTAAGGATCATCTAATGGCTAGCGGCTAGCGTTTGGTTCTTTTCAAGCGCCGGCGACCGCAAGCATGGACAGTATCAGCATCTCTGTGCAGAAGGAGTAAACCTCGGACGAAAAGCCTTGAACCAGATAAAGAGGGAGAACTGACGGGTCTCCGGTTTGCCGAGGCGGTTGCTAATAATGTAATACAAGCCAAGAAAAATATGTGTGTGTGTGTGTACATATATATATATATACGTACATACATACATACATACATACATACATACAAGTATGTATATAAACATGCTAGCATATATATATATGTGTTCACATACACATCTATAGATAAATTATACATATATACATACACACATACACACACACATATATATATACAATACATGTCCGTTTGTATGAATGTATCTATACATGTATGCATGTAGTTATGTATTTATACGTATGTATGTATGTATCTATGTATGTATGTATGTATGTTTGTTTGGGTGGATGGATGGATGGGTGGATGAATGTATGTATGTATGTATGTATGCATGCCTGTATAGGGAGTGCGTCGGAATACGGGCCTGTCCTTTTCGGGTACAATCAACTGTGAAAACCATCGTGAATACAGCGCAATCCTTATAACTTATACCGCATACATGTGAAAACAGAAAAATCTGGAGGTGCCCTGCCGGCCTCACCCCGAGATAAACAAATCAGATATTTGAGACATTGTTTAGAACTGTTCGATCTCTACTGAATGGTAGCCCCAAAGCCGCAAGCCGATGAAGCTTTAAAACAACCTCATCTAAGCCTGATCTCAATCCCAATCAGGGGATGACAGAGTGTGCGGAACAGAAGCCCCGCAACAGAGTCTCTAAAAATGGGCATTGCTATGGTCAGGCTAGCCGCCAGCCCGGAAACATCCCAACCTTCAACAAGAAGCCTGAAATCCGTATCCGGTCCACCGAACCTCTAGCATCGGGGGTGGCGCAGTATCTATCTCGCCCAGTTCAAACAACCCGACGTGTGCAGATGCTGTTTGTTGTGGGCCCGCAGGTTGAACTGCAATTCAAACCTCCGTGTGAAGTGCATGTGCAACCAAAGACAGCCCTCCGGTCCAACTCTGCGGCAATATTCTCAGCGCTAAGCTACGTACTCATAGTCTCAGCAGAGGTTAGATAAGTGTTATTTAGTGTTTGTCCTGCAGGATCGTCCCCAACACAGATCCGTGATTTTGCTTGTGCTTGTCCGGTGCTTCTTTGCTAAGTCACACTGCAAACAAAAGGATTTCAGTAACCAGTCTCAACACTTGGGAAGCCTCAAGATTCGAGGGCTTGGGGGGAGGAGGGGATTGGGATTTCGGCATGGCATGGTCTCCACTCAAGGCCTCCCAAAAACTTTCATGCACACCATCACCATGTCAGCTGGTACTGGTATCTCCCGAAATCACGCGGATGTACCACTCGCGGTCTTGCTCAGAGCGGGGCAGCAGAGGCACGATCGGCAGCTCCGTGCAAGGTTTTGGGTGAGTTTGGTCAGAAGTTACAAGTTACTGAGTACTGGAAGGGATGGCGGGAAGCTTTCTGCAGATTCAAAATCAGAAACAACAGCTTGGAAAAGAGTTGTGCCGAGGCATGCTACGACGCGCCGCGGGCTTGCCTTGTGTTGCCTACTGTCTTTGTTGGAAGTCCAACTCAAGCATTATCTGATGCTCGGGCTGATTGCAGTGAGGTCGTGCAGAACACCAGTGAACACGCCCATGGCTCCAGCAAACACACCCATGGCTTGCCACATGTCGTGGTGTCTGCCTTACTGACGGCTTTTTCGGCTTGGTTGCATCCTCTGTGCTCCTTCTGAGCAGGCCAGATGCCAACAAACAGGCCAAGGAGGCCCGCGCTCAAAATCCTTGCCTGCCACAGCCGCTCGGTGGCAAAGTGGATTCGTTACGTCATTGGACCAAGAAATACCAAGAAGACGATCCAGGTTCAACACTGGCGGATCTATGACCTGCCCAGGCCTGGGCCTGGACCTGAATACGAAATCTACATCGTGCCACAGGGCGAGCCGAGAGTGAATGACCCAAGTGGTGTGAGAGGTATGTAACAAGTAGGAGAACCGGCGCAAAGAGCGATAATTAGCAACGCTCTCTTGAGGAAGCGAATGTTCCAAAGCTCAAACCTGGGCCATGAAGTTGCAGCGGTTTGCTTGCATCTCTACTCATCCGGCCTGGCGACTTGTCCTGTTCCGAAGTTGGGCCCCCTGACTCCTGAATCACTGCATCTATCGAGTCGAGCAGGAAAGTAATCGAGACGAGTCACGAAAACCAGCCAGTGAGTATCTGAGTGAGTCAGTGAGTGACGTGAGTGAGCGAGTATGTGAATGAGTTAGTTACTTCGTTGAACAGCAACTTTACACTGAACCCCTTCCCCACTCCCTCGCGCGCTACGTTGCTTGAACTTGGAGCACACCTGGCACCAGCAAGAGATTCGAGGATCGTGGCTTCTGTTCCATCTTCAAATCTAGATCATGTCTTTTCGACTCCGCATGTACTTGCAAGCTCAGGGGATCTGGCCCTTGGGAGGGGTTCGGTGAAGCTTCATTTCCAAGCAAGAACGTACCCGGCTGAAGCGACAGATGTGGAGACGAGCCAGATAAGCTCATGGCTGCCGTAGGCCTGTGGGGCAGCAAGGGGAGTGTCGCTGAATTGCGCAGGAATGTCGCCGACAGCGACGGCAGGGCCATGGAGCATCTCAGCGGGGATTTGACTCAGGCCGGGGCTCTGGAAGCTTCTCCGGACCGAGCTGAGGTCCCGTCGCAGCACCCGCTGATGCACTTCGCGTATTTCTCGGCCAGAATCATGTAACAGGCCCGGGTTGGGTTACTTGAGTTCTTGTTTTCAGAGAGGGACGGGGGGCAACAGCTCGTGTCAAAGCAATTGTCCCGATATTGCAGGGGCTCTACGAGTCTGATGCCTGCATGTGAAACATTGCCCCCCCCCCAACAACAACATAACTCAAGGACGTCTTTCTTGGTGGCGGGCTGCGGTTCGGTAGTGACTGAGTAGTTACTGGTTAGGATTAGGGATAGTGCTAGCAAGCCAGCAGTCCTGGGCCCCTAAAGCCATCAAGCCGGTATGGAACCGATCGCCAGGCCAGGCCCGGAAGTTTGGCAATATTGGGGAGCCCCAATTCGTTTCCATGATTGGGTTTCCGGAAGCCTGCCCGGGTAGATTTTTGGAGAAACGAGGGTCGACCTCGCCGCACACGCCGTTTAGAAAGGAACCCCAGGCTTCGGGACAGGCCGATCCAGCTCCCAGGGCTTCTTCCACAGGCAAAGGGCCAGACGAGAACTGCATGAATGGAGATACATTCCTTAACTTCGGAACCCAACTTCCAAAAACAAATTGGGCCCGAAAATCTTTGCATTGTTGGGGAAGCCCAGAAGATATTTAGGGTCCACGAGAAAGTTGCCAAACTTTGTATTGTTGGCGGACCCCGGACCTCACACTGATCAGAGCTCCGCATTAATGCAAACCCTTGTCTGTCTGTCTGTCTGTCTGTCTGTCTGTCTGTCTGTCTGTCTCTGCATATATATATATGTATACATATATATATATATCTATGTATCTATCTGTGTGTGTGTGTGCGTGCCATGCTCAGACAGGAATGCAGGGGTGGGGCACTCAACGAAGACCCCCTCTCACCCGTGCAGACTTGCTTGTGGGCTTTGTCGGGCAGCTGAGTAGCGTCATCTTCGTTTCGTGCTGCGCCATTTCCTTAGCATCCGGGGAGCGGAGCCGGACCTCGACCCAACATACAGACAACTTCACCTTGCGTGCATCTTGTATCATGTGCCATTCCGAGTTCCGCGTTTCTGGAGGAATCACGTGGTACCAAATGGTCATCTCGTCGTTGTTCTCATCAGTATATTCATAAAAATCATCGTCGTCAACACCATCGTCATCACCTTCATCAGCATCAGCTTCGCCTTCAACTTAGTTTTCCAAGTCACTTCATGCCATTTCTACCGCACCAATCATGTCGGCATGTTGATCAGCCTTCCAAAGTGTGTGGAACCCCACCCTCCAGCAAACAGCTTGTGACCTCCCATCGGGCCTACAAAAACAATCCAGTGGCCGCCGGCATCATAAAGACTCGCTCCAACAGGTGCCGAGCTCGCGGCTCGCCTCCAGGCAGCTGCTCCCGACAGCCCCCCGCCGAATCACATGTGGGGATGCTGTGCTCGAGTGTCAAGGGCACCCATAGGTGTGTGCTTGCATGATACGGCTCAGTCGAGGCTATGAGGATTGAGTCGTTGCCCCAAGCCCGTGGTTGCCTTGGCGATACTGTTGATAGTCGCACATTGTCGCCGTTTGATGTCCCAAATCTGGCATTTCCTTTTGCCGAGGCTTTTTCCTGAAACGTCAGCTTCTGCACGTCCAGTGCTCAAGGGTCGACTGTTGAAATTCCGAACTGTTCCTGGAATGATGCCCTGGAGCGCTCAGGTTGCCGCGCACCTGTCGCGCCGCGCCGCAGAGAGCGTACTGTGCTTTCCCCGGCTGTAAGAAGGACTTTGGAAAAGCCGTGGTCTTAAAATTGCTGCAAGTTCTCAGGTCCCTGTCCTGAGCGTAGCCTTTGACATGCAGGAGACGCCTGCCGAATGACCCAAAGCATGGCTTAGTCGTAGTCCATTCAAGCATGTGCTTTCTCTATAGCCGAGAAGAAAAGAAATTGATGCTGTCGGGTGCGGCATGCGGTTTCCGGTCTCCGACATGACAGTTTCTGTTTGAACCGGCAGGGTGCATTCTGAGGCAAAGCCGAGCACATGCCCAGATATCACACCGTCACCGCTTGAATGTGCCCTGCCCGCGAGATCTCTCCATGCTTGGCCTTCAAGTTTGCCAGCGTGCAGGCACTACGAAGCAGCACAGAGCTACCCAGCTGACGTGTTGATCCTCTTATTTGTTTCGTCTGCTCCTTACCGACTCATTGATTGGTGCCTCCCTCTATGCAAAGGTTGACGTGCTGTGGTGTGCCGTGCTGCTCATTGATTACGCAAGCGTAGTAGCCTGCCTTCCCAGCCGTAGCACTAGCTTGCCCTCCAATCGAAAGGACCAGGAGTGTCCTGCTGGGGATGTAGAGTTAGCTCGTTTCCAGGTCTGTAGATCCTTGACTTGAAGCAGTTTGCAATCCGTTCCAGGACATTTTACCACCAAGGACGAGAGGTAAATATCAACAAGCAAACAGGCAAGGTAGCTGGATGTACTTCAAGAGCAGGGCCCTTTACATGTCTGCAGACTTTCCGCCGGACCACAGTAGGATTTGAACACGAAGGTGTGAAGGCGAGATGCCTTAGTACCTTGAGTAGGAGTCTTCTTCAGAATGTCCAAGGCCCAACGATGTCTTGCTGTGTACAGAGAACAGCAGAAACTCAAGAGCCGAAAGTGACTCACAGTCTAGCTGGTGCCGGCTGCTTTGTGTCAGGGCATTTGTGTACATCACGCATTGAGCGTACTAGCGAACTTGACAACCAACGGTCGATTTCTTTTGAAGCAACCTTAGCCACCAGACTGCTTGAGTCAGATTGCCAATCTGCGAACAAGCTTGTGAAATGCAGTGCTTAGTGAAAGGCTGTGTTGGTATTTGTGGCAGATCGGTATCTGTTTCTTGATTTTAGCTCGTGTCATGTGCTGCGGCTGCGGCCAGCAGTCCACAGCATGTGTGCTATCCGGAAGCGTTGCCTGGAACAGGGTACTGGGCATGTGCAAGACGTGCATCCCAGGAAACGACTTTCAAGACGGGGATGCAAACCGATGGCCTCTCCGATTTTTTGACATACCTTTTAAGCTACTTGGCCATCTCACCGATGTCAAGCCCAGCCACTTCCGCCTTGCCAGTGTTACGGAAGTGCTCCATTGGAGCATGAGAGATAAATCGAAAGTCACACAGGCCGCAACAGCAGCAATGCTACCAAAGCAGAAGCTGCACAGCCTGCTGGCGGGCAACCAGCTTTCTGGTAGTGGTGGCCAGTTAAGGCCCCTTGCCTAGCACGGCCGACGTCACAACTGCTGTGGGCCATGTCTTGTGGGAGAACAGTGTTCAAACCAAGTGGATCGTCCGATTGGCGCGACAGCTACCGTTGTGTCATTTTCGACGTGGCATTAGCCAGCGCTTCTTCCGTCGTATGTGGCATGAAAAATACTCTGGTAACTTACTTCTTTGGGCAGCTAGCAGCTACGTTTCTCACGGGCTCTGGCTGATGGCCTTTAGATGCCTGAGAGCTGACTGCGCAGGGGCTTGCCAGCGCATACACCAGCTCTAGTCCAGCAAGCTCTTAGCGCGGCTAGCCGCCGGTAAGAACTCCCGCAGTCAGGCCACACCACGGCACCAGTCGTGAGGACATCTTCACACTCTCCTCATGCGGACTTGCTGACAATTGAATTGAAACGTCACATCATGAGCCATTTGCAGCTGCCACATGACTGCTGAGAACCTCGCAACCGTCGGTGAGCACTGTGCACGCTTCGATTTCTGCTGCCTTTACAAGCGCAAGCCATCGCCGGGACATGATCTACACTTGGCAGTCTGAATCTAGACAGACAGGTTTTTAATACTTGCAGCCTAAACTGTAACCCGGACACAGTTCGCAGTGTGGCAGATCAACGTGCTGGTATCTGGTGCGTCTGCTTTGCAGCATCAGGCTCGGCAGAATGTGCTTCTACAGGGAATCCAGATGGCAGCGCCAGTCAATGCATGTTGCCTTGCTTTGCTCTACTGCATGAGAAAGCAGACTGTTTTGAAGCATCCTTTCACTTACCGGCGAGAGTGGCTGTTCATGCAGATTCCTCACAGGTTGACCTGCCCCCTCTGCACGTTTGACGAGAGGGCACTGCAGGATCAGCGGCAGGAAGATCTGAGAAGGTGGTCTGAAAGCTGTTTTCATGCATGCTGTGATTGCACTGCCACAGCCCGAATCGTTTGGAGGCATGGAGACACTGCATCCATTACAGACACTGGAAGGCACGTCACCGTGTCGGCCGAGACGTGGCCAGAGCTTGTGAATTGGAACGTGTTTCACAAGTAGTATAACTCGCATGCAGCAACCTAGAAAAGATGAGCAATACAGATGCGGTGTCTTGTATCAATCCTGCTACAAAGTGTCGCCACAGCGGAGGTGATCACCGAATCTTTGTCCGAAACACCTTCCTGGAGGTTCAGGCTTGTTGCACATGGTCCAGTTGCTCCTGTCACCGGCAAGGTGTAGAAAGATTGCACTTGTGTCTGTGTGCAGAAGAAAACGGTCATGCCGGTTTTGCCGGCGCCCTCCCGCTCCCAACGCGCACGCGCGCACACACACACACACACGCACACACCCCCCCACCCACCCACCCACCCACCCACCCACCCACCCACCCACCCACACACCCACCCACCC